CTCACAGGAGGGCCACTCTCTCTCCAATCTCTCAGTCCTGATCCTCAAGGGAAGCTTACACAACACTTCCCAGAGACGAGCCTATGAGCTCCATTTCATCAACCTGCTGGATACTAGAGATCATGGACTAAACATAGACATTGGATTTTTGATACATTACAATCTGCCTGGCAACCGACTCCCCCGCCCAGCCCAGCCCCTGGCTTCTTTACTTTTCATCCCATCCAGGAAGAGCACACACCGACTGCTGCAGCTTCCTTAGCCTGACGAAGGGTTTTTGAACCCGAAAGCTTGCTTAATAACTATTCTCCAACCATTTGGGTTGGTCTAATAAAAGATATCAAATTCACCCAAGGAACCTTGTCTGCCTAAAGCACCTTAATGCACATGTCGACGTACTAAGGCATTAATGCTGTGTATGTTGACTGATTTGGGACTAACTTTAGTCCCAAGTTGGTCTGCACACCGTGTTAATGCGCCATAGTGCATGCACGTGTAGACATGCACCGTAATTGCCTTAATATACGTTAAGCAAATGTGCATTACGTTTAGGCATGTGCAAAACCACGTGTAGACATGCCCAGACTGAGTCTCTTTTAAGGGTTTCATCCTGTGTTTTTAATTTCTCTCTCAAATATTGGGATTGTTATTTAACGTAGTCATTTGTGTTAATCGTTTGTCTTACATTATGTTTATCTAGTTATCTGTAATTAATTGCATAGCTGAGACACTCCAAGAGGTTAGATTTATATACTGTGCAGTACATGTAATAACAGACGCAGAATGTACAATATTTTGAGAAGTGTAGTCAGGAGATTCTCATAACGGGTAGTGCATAATTAAACCAGGAAAAGGTAGGAGACTTATTTGCTGTAGATTCTTTCAGAAAATAAGGTAGTGGGGAATTAGAGTTGGTGCACATCCAAAAGTACTGGATAGATAAGAACAGAGCAAAACAGCTAAGTAGTAACCGTTCCAAGGGGTACCTCTGTGTATCAGGGCATGAGGCATCGCTACTGAACAGGTAATCGGCATCATGATGATTTGTGATCACTCCTCCTTCGGCCACTGAAAAAGAGTTCACAAGGAGAGTATGAGGCACCTCGGGTAGTAGGTCCCTGGGGTATATGCCTTCATATCAATCTGATCTTCCCTACTTCACTTCTCCAATGGCTTTTGTTTGAGCTCAAGCGTTTGGCCCTCCTTTTACCCGGTTGCCGGGGCTTTGTTCCCAGTGGGAGGGCTCTGCTCAGGGCAAGAACAGGGGGGGAGGAGGGAAAGCTGCGCTTGCCCTTCCTGGGCTCTACAGCTTGCCAGAGGCATCCTCTGGCTTACAGTGGCTGAAGTGGTTTCCACAAGCCATCCTGGCAACTGGAGGGGAGCAGACAGGCCTTCCCCAGCTTCCTTCACCCCGGCTGGGTGCACAGACGCTGTCTCTGAGCTCTTTTCTCAGCGCTTTTGCTAAGATCAGGGTGGCAAGGGGGAGCAGCATCTGCCGAGGGATAGACCGGAGCTGCTGGCCTCCCTCCTGCCATCACTAACCAGGCACGTGCAGCCATTGCCAGAAGGGAGGGAGCTGTTCTGGCTCCCGCCCTTCTCCTCGCAGGAGGAACTGTGGTTCCTGCTTCTCCAGGGCGTGTTTCTCTGCCTTCCCCCTCAGGCCAGAGAAGGCACCAGCCCCCTGCCTCTCCGCCTCACTGAGGGGACCCCCGTGCTCCCCCCTCACCCCAGAAGTCACAGAGCTCCCGGCTGACGCTTTGGGAGAACCAGGCACTGCAGCTCCTGAACATCCCGCTGCCAGGGGAGGCCGCCTTGCCTTCCCCCCTCTTCTCCTGAGCCGCTGAGGAGAGTGCCAGGGCCAGGCCAGGCCAGGCCAGGCCGGGGCAGGGGGCGACCCCTCCAGCCCCCTCGGGTCTGCAGAGGAGGGGAGCAGAGAGATGTCCCACTGCGCAGAGCCCCCCCGTCTGCCCTCAGGAGAGAGGACTCTGTGTGTGTCAACAGCCAGGCAGTTCACAGTAAAACAAGAGCCATCTCAAATATCACTTCATTTTACAAATAAAGGGCAGTCCTGGCAAGGACTCAGTCCACTCCTACTTTAGGTCAACTTGGGGCTGAAAAACAACTGACCAAGAGTTACTGGTTTGGTTTCATCACTTTATATACTGTTTAAAACCGCTTTTTTTTTTTTCTTGCAGGTAAAACATACTATAAAATGCTTGCACCGTCACAAAATGAAAATAATAAACTGCATAGTGATTATAAACAGAACGTGATGTTATCTTTGCGCATCAGTTTTCTTGTATTTATTTCTATTTTGCAAATCTTTCTGCTTACAAGCTGCACCATTTAGCCATCAAGAGTTTCAGCAAAAAGAACAAGCAAACTGACTTTCAAACTGACCGATGTATCATAACACTACACACACACACACACACACACACACACACACACACACACACACACACACACACACACACACACACACACACACACACATTCTGTGGCCTTATGTCTATTAGTGCCCAATAAGAGTAAACTCACAAAAGGGCCAAGCAGATAACGCCCAGCTGGAGAATGGAAATTCTAGCATACAGCTTTCAGCCGAGTTAAAGGAAGTGCTAAGCATTTTAAATGTTAACAAAATACCTATCTAAACTCTATAATCAAATGCTATACAGAAAACGCAGTTTGAAATGATGCTCCGGTAACCAGCATTCCAATATTCAACCGGCAACTTAATAAACAATAAGAATTCACCAGAAATGAAATCAGTAATATATATTTTCAACTTTAAACCTGAAAAACAATGACATCAACAGGTATATAACCCTGAGCATAAATACTTAATTCTTCTCCCTTACACAGTGGTATAAAACTGCTACGAATCTGAAAAGAATCAGGACACGAGTATTTTCCTTTCATAAAGAGTGTTCTTATCTCAAACTAAGGATTCCTGTCAGAATTTCAGTGGCTTACTTTAATTTTCCTCAGAAGCATTAAGAGTGAAGGTATTTTTATTATTCAGATATAATAAAATTGCTGTTAAGGGCACTCTATAGCATATTCTATATGTAGGGGGCTTCTTGAATATTAATGACCATTAGCAGATATCTCTAGCCACATGTGGAATATCTCCTCCCTCCCAGATCCCCAATATCTGGATATTTTTACATTCCACCCCATTCTCCCACTTTTCTGCACTACTTTTGAGGGTTTTAAAATTCTTAATTACCAGAAGGTCTGGTGATTGTCCTTCCCCCATTCAGGTTTTTGAAAGTTTGCTATTGACTTCAAAGTTAAGAGGTTAGCTTTCAAGTGAACTTATTTCTTGTCTGAAGTATCTTTCTCATAGCTATATATTTCAGTAGTGCTGTGGTCTGACTTCCTAGATCCTCCTCATTCATAACTTAATAGAGCTTACACTGGGGGGAAAAAAAACACTTTACATGAGAGGACAGTGGAACTGGGCATTCTGGTACAGAGACAAGACAGAGATTGAGCTGATAGCTGCAAAATGGCAATAAGTAGCTGGGAGGGAAAATCTCTCTCCTTTTGACCTTGCTGAGTTCCTAGGCCAGATTTGTCAATTATGGTATATTTAGGCACCTAAACATGCAAAAAGGCACTTAGCTGAATTGACACATAAGTGCACATAAGTGTCTTAGAAAATCCCAGTAGGCAGCTCCGTGTATTCTTAGACACCTAAATCCCTTTAAAGATCTGGCTCATTGCCAGCAGCCAGTGGTAACCTGTTCCAGCTTTAGTACAATTCTTGGTCACCCCAGGTCTGCTTTTTTTGCCCTGCTTGTGCTTAGCAATAAAATCTCTGTAGCTGTCAGAAATCCTCTGTTGTTCTTTGTATTTCATCTTTGCCCCTACCCATTTCTAATTTTATCATTTTAAATTACATGTATATAGAGAATGGTATGTCAAGCACTAAACTGACTAAACAGAATATCCCCAGCGCTGGACATGTGAGCAGAGAGAAGACTGACCTAACCTTTGCCAAAGAAGGTCCCCTTAACCATTGAACAAAGATGGAAATATAGTAATTTTCAGCACTCTCCCCACAATACTTCAATGCCTTGCTAGGACTTACCCTCTCTTATCCAGATATCCCCTCTTCCCTGTATTTTAGCCAAATGCCACTCTCATCTGGCTCCTTAGTAGTGTCTTACCCCATCCTCACTGGACTTGCTCAGTTTGTTTCCCACCCTTTCAAGATCTCAGCCCAAAAAATCTGGTTACATTTGTCAAATGATGAGTATGGTTGTCCCTTAGGACAGAACTGTGAGATAAGCCAGAACTCAGGCAAGGCAAAGTTCCTGCCCATGAGTGTATTACCTGAAAACCCTTCCAATCCCCAGACTATTCCCCTATACTAGAAAAAAATCTTAAGAAAACATCAAAGGTAAGAGTGATACAAGCTAAACACTACTGATACTGTGTGGGTTGGAAGGGACTGCAAAGCTATATGCAGCATATTCACCAGTTTTAGAGAATGGCATGCTATTAATTTTATAAGGCCTATGGCTTCAAACACTGGTGTCTACAAACATGTGTTTTGCCAGTGGAGTTGCTGTTACATCTGGTCCCTCTTGCTGAATATTTTCAGTGGTTCACTGTTCTCTCCAGAGTCATTCAAACATGGACAAAAGTATGGGTAAATTTTCTCTGTGAAAGTGTCCATGAAAGTATAGATATGAGACATCCTATTAACATTATAAAAGGACACCTGTCCCCCCTCGTAGTCCAGATACACCCCAACCTTAGAAAGGTTAGTATTCAGTGTCAGACTCATTGTGAGTCTATCCAGTGCTTTAAGTTCATTCCTGTTCCTCAGCTTTATAAGCCAGTATCCATCCATGGGTGTTAATGTGTTGTTCCCTTTCCGGTTAATGGACTCCTTAACCACTCCCAAAGTCCATTTTGTCTTGTTCTTTACTTCCACTTCCCAATAATGTTTCCCTGAGGTGAACCCTTCAGATCCCAGGACAGCAACACTGGAGTCAAACCTCTCTGGAGTGTCTGGGAGCATCTGTTTTGTGTTGTCATGTCTCACACAAGTCAGATCTTCAGACAGAATGAGATTTGGATGTGCTGTATTAGGGTCCAGAGTTATAGAGGACAGACCTAGTTAGACAGTAAAAAATAATTATCAGGGAGAGCATTTGAACTGTTTTTTCTTTACACAGTATCTGTACCGGGGTCCACACCACAATGCCACAATAACCACTAGAAAACAAATTCCCTCTTATCCAATATTCTTACATTACCAAACAGGTGGAATCAGATAAACTAGGTTCTGCAAAGCTGTCCAGAATAGCAGACCTGAGCACTGCAGTAACTCAGACCATGTAGTGAAGATTTAACCAAACTCAAGTTAAAACTATAGGAAGAGTTCAGTTGGAGAGAGGAAACTGAGAGACAGGAATGGGCAGGAAGTAAAGGAGGCAAAAAATATGTTTTCTTTTGCCTGTTTCCACTAACAAACAGTAATTTCTTAAAATGCTTTTCCTCTTCAATCAAGTTATATTGTGTTTTCCCACCTTAGTAGAACTTAATTTAGACTAGAGGAGAGATCACTGATCTGAATCCAGAAGCTGTAACCATACTCTTCAGTTAACTAGTGTTAAGGCTTTACATTTCTCAAACCATATTTCACAAGGGTTCTAAGGCCTCTACTTGTTAGGTATCATATTTTATGTATGCGTTAACCAAAGTCTAGAGAGATGGCTCAAGACTATAAAAGAAATTTATAGCAGAACTAGGACTAGAAATCATATAATGTCCCTCCTCTGATTTTCCAGAGAAGGGAATTAAATTTTTAAACTATATTGTGTTCAAATCTCAATTCAGATTGACTTCAACAACACTTGTGTTTATCAGTTATACAAATCTGGGTCCAGGTACATTACATTGGACCCTCAGAAAGTAAAGAACACACAGTAAGTAGCCAGATGTAAACATCTGGGTTTAAGTGATTTACCCAGAATCACCCAGGAACTCTGTGGCAGAGGCAAGGACAGAACCCATTTCTCCAAGGGGACATTCAGCAGTCTTATTCTCTCCACCGCCCTGCTTCTGTGAATCCTCCTACTTCCCTGTTCCTCTCCTCATGCGCTGGTATTAGCCTCTCTGCCATATGTGGCTATCTACTCATCCACACAGCCTTGTTCCCTCCCCTCCGCTCTTATCCAAGCCCCTCCCCGCCTATCTCCTTCTTCCTCCATTACCTCCACCCAGCCTCTCCTGTCTCCCACTGCTTCCTGCCCCTTCTGGCTTCTGCACTTCTCTCTCCATGTTCCTCACACTCCCCTTCCATTCCTGAGTCATCTTCATTCTAAATGAGGGTTGATTTGTCCTTCACGCTGCCTGGAGACCAGCAGGGGGACGATGTGAGCATAGACCAGTCTCCCTGCTCTCATTTACGATGCTCGGTGGCTCAGAGCAGTGGTTATAGAGTGAAATACAAATGCAGTGTAATATGTCAGAGTTCATACCCTTCCTTCTAAATGAAGTGTAACAGGTGGGTACAAGGAAACTCGCTGGTTTCAGCCCCAAATTTTGGTTTGGTAAAATAGTTTCACACACTCTAACAGTACCAGGAATATGTTCATTTTTTTTCAAAAATTAAATTTCAATTGAGACATTTTTGTTTTGGATCTAAATCTTTAAGGTTCTAGGACTCAATAACAGGCCCATTATTATAGCATGTGAGCTACAGATGGAGACAGACTAGAAATGAAAGAAAATGGTACATAATAGTTCATTACTCATTTGAAACTCAGAAAGGAGCAGCAAGACAAGGAAGAAAATAAAATGGAGACAAAGAAAAGCACACGTGTCTGAGAGGCTGTAAGGAATAATAAAGTAATATCCCATTACCTGGGTTGAGGATGGATTTCATGCCCTTCCACAAAGTGTATTGGATTGGACCTTTGAGTTGTCCCAGGTTCAGCTCTTGGGAGACCATGTCCCCCTTAGATAGAGTGGATATATTTTTCTCCAAGCTACATAAGGCACAAATCACACTGCCTGTTTATATGAGATTATAGAATCTGATAAATACAGAGAGTTCAGCAGTGCTAATACTACAAAAGTATTGTTGTAAGTACTCCTGAAAATTTTAACCCCATCTCTCTCTGCCTCGGTTCATGCCCCTTTTGTGTTCACTTTCTGGGAACAATCTAGCAAGCAGCCTTTGCTGGCACAAATACATAAATGAAGCAAAACTGAAACCTGAGTATACAATAAGAGTTAATTTTAAGTTATGTAACTATTTAACAGTAAATATGCAATTCAGCATTTGTGCTCTCGGTTGATTAATTATATACGTCATTCAATCAGGGAATTAAAATAATATTGTATGATTTACGCAAGGCATAGCCCACCCCAAATTCCAAATTTTGAATATTCTCAAAGAACTTTCTGAAAATAATCTGGAAACCAACAACTGTTTCCTGAGGCAATTTGGGGATTATCACCAATTCTGAGAATTTAACCATCTGTTCTTAAACAGTTTTGCAAACAGAAAATGATTAAATTTGTCAATTTAACTGTTTTGTATGAGTTCTAATACAGACTGAAGAATTCTACAAGCTCAGACTTACCTTTCCATAAAGGGTTTTATACCCTATGAGATGAAAGGAGAGAAAAGTTAGAAGAGACATTTAAAAACTGTATAATTGCTACAGGGTACTTAATACTGAAAACCTCAGCAGTCAGTTCTATTGCAATATTTCTGAACTCTCATAGGAGATAAGCCTGACCCATCGTAGCCTCTTTCTCACAAAAACCCTCCTCAGAGCATTTTCTGTTTCTCTCATAGGCATGGTAAGAAGTGGTACAGCAAACATGCTTCCCAGGATATTTGACACTTCCCAGCCCATTCTGATACTGGACATTAAATAATCCTTTCTGCTAGCAAAGATAAAATACCTCTGCCAAGTGAGGTAAAGTTTCTGCCACCCTCTAGCAGAAATGTGTAGACACTCCCACACCTTCTGACAGTTGTTGTAGTTCCTTCAGCAGCTTGTGAGCAGGGGTGTGCGGTTTGTAGCACCGCAAACCTCTTTGTGCCCTGGTACCAAATTTGCAGCACGGGCCAAAATTTGCTACCAGAAAATCCTGGTAGCAAAAGAAGTGCTGGGAAAAAACATGGCGCAGTGCATGCAACAAGAGTGGGTGTGCCAGCAGACATGGAGGCTTGGTCCTCCAGGGAGACACTCTAGTTGCTGGCTGGAGTGTCTCCATTTCTTCATTGTGTCCTAACTCCTCCAGCAAGCCAGGAGCCGGGGGGGACCTAGGCCAGGGAAGTTTGCTGGAAGTGGGACATACAGAGGCACATACAACAAAGCACACATACAGGGGCATGCACTGTGGCAAAAAGTAGCAGCACAAATTTGCGCTGCTACTATTTTTGCCACTGCAAGCATACACCCCTGCACAGCCTAGAAGTGCGTTTTACAGCCCTGTGGCACAGCTGCTCAAGGAAGACCTGTAGACCCAGCAGAAACACCTGGGTATGAAAGTGTTATGGTGGGTTTGTGGTGGCAGCTCTGTTTGTTACCAGAACTTCTGTTGGTAGAGCAACGTGAGCATAGAGAATGTCTTGGTACATTTAAGTCTAGATTTCTCACTGTTAGGAAGCTGATGGAATTGTGCTGGTAAAGCCGGGACTGAATGCGTAACAGTGTCTCCTTTGCTTGGTGACACTTTTCTTGGAGAATATTTAGATTTGCCTCCATTTCTTGAAGGCAGATCTTCCCCTCTTCCTGCAGTTCATTCATTAATCTTCTCTCCCTGCTATGAAGGAACTGGTGAAGTTTTAGACACTGTAAGCTGATGTTTTGTTGAAGAAGCATCTTGTTTTCCTGGAAAACACAATTTGTTAAGATGGGAAATCTTTGACCTCAGGAGCATCACATGAAAACATGGGTGGATCTAGGATTTTGAAAAGAGGTATGCAGATGGTGTGGCATATCATCACATATAACACAATACATTTCCAGTTCAAGATAAACTTGAAGTTTTATTAATATGCTAAAAAACTTGCACTATATCATTCAGTTTAAGATCAAAGCAAAAACAAAAATAACTATTAGAATGTGCACTGATTTACTAGATTATATATAAAGTTTTCAAAAACCACAACAAACTAGGCAAAAATTAGTCAAAGGAGGCAAAAGATATTGTGTCATTAGTACTGTAAAAACCATTATAGTTAAATATACATGTCTTATTCAGGTTCATAAAACAAAATCTAGTCTTCTTGAGTATCTTGACATTGCCTCCAATACCTCATTGTCAGTCAGTTCTACACCTGAAGTAAAGTTTTTAGCTAGGGCTAAAAGCAGTCTGCAGGGCTGTGAAATACAAAAGAGACATTACCAGAATTAGATAGCAGACAGCAAAACTGCAGAAGATAGGATAGTTTCGATAGTGGAACCGCAAGACCATTAAAAAGGAGAGATGGTCATTAACACGTGAAGTGGAGACAGATTAGCAGGAATAAAGGATCTGATAATGACCTATGAAGTCAATTAATTCTCTCAGCACTTCCTGAATAGAAATGCTGCTGCTGCTCCTCTCCCCCTTCCGGCTTTAAAGTTTGGATGGAGCAGGAATTAGTGGGGTGCAACTGCACCTCTGCACCCCTACCCCTCCGAGATCCGCCCTTGGATGAAAACACCAAGATATATAATTGAATATGACTAGCTCCTAATATAAAGTGACACTTGTTTCATGTTTTACAACTCCGGGTGGAACCTATACATCATCTATGACTCCTTATATAATTGTAAGATCTAATTGACAAGAACAGATCATTGATCCATCATTCTGATTTCACCTCCTCTCTTGACAAATACCTGCAAGTTCAGAGGTAAAAGAAAAAAATGCACCTGACCAGTTGTACAATGCTCTGGATTCCTTTCCAAACCCTGTAGTGAATGGTGTATGCAGTGAAGCATTGTACTTGGCTACCTTTTTCAAAATAAAGATGTGACTAGTGAGGAAAGAATCACTGTCAAGAAGAAAAAGAGGATGCAAAAAGGAAAAGAAAAGAAACTGAACAAAACTTGTATCTTGCAAGTCTACACCAACCCAGCTACCCCCAGTTTATGTGACTGTCTCAAAATGTACATATGGCTCTTCAAAAACTTAAAAGAAAAACTGGGGGGTTTGTGTGATACCAGTTGAAACTCAGTGGATATGGTTAACTCACTTTGAGCCTCTCTGAAATGTAAATTGTAACCAAAGAAAAATTCCATGACCACCTTTGAATAGATATCACAGGCTTTGAAGAACTCTAGAGCAGTGGTTCCCAACCTTTTAGGACCATGGACCGGCAAACTATGGACCGGAAGTGACCGTGGACTGGCGAACTGTGGACCAGCATACTGTGGACCAGTGGCCAACCCTTTTTTTATACTCAGTACACATATACACACATATACTCAGTATAAAAAAGAGTTTAAAACCTTCCTGCGGACTGGCAGCCAACCCTTTGCAGCCCGGGGGTTGGGTACCTCTGCTCTAGAATAAGCAGGTTCAGGATGAATCATAGTTATTTATAACTGTCTTCAGATTAGATACGAGGATTTTTTTTTTTTTTGCTTTACCTGTAAACTGTTCATCTAAGAAACTAGTGATTCAGTTTCTACTGTTGCTCAGCAAGTTTGCTAAATTAACATGTCAGTGACAGCACACAACATGGTCTGCAGTTATTACAGGTAATGTACACACATCTCAGATACACTTTCAAGACATCAACAGTCCTTGGGAAAATTTAGACATCCAGAACTTTGCATCACAAAAGAACCTAAATTCAGGTGTCAGTCAGAATTATCCAGACATTTGCCGCTTATGGGCACTAGATGCCCAGCATACAATCAAGGTACGTAGTGAGTAAAAGCCAAAAGAGTCATCCAGATGCTTTTCTGTAATGTCTGTATGCCAAAGGTTTATTTGAATGCAAGAATACTTCATTGTGCATTATGACACTTGGTATATGCTGCAGCTATATAGTGACCAACAGAAGCTTTTTCTTAATAGCAGACTGACTACCCTGTCTAGACTCTCTGCTCTGATAAGGAATCCTCAGTTCTGTTCTTGCTGAGAATTCTAGCTGAGGTATATTAAAACCAGGTCCTGTTGACTTGATGCTACTCACTTTGTGACAAGAGATCTTCTCTTGCTGAGCATTTTTCACTGTTTTTAATTCCTGCAGAGTGGACTCCACTTGAGTTCTGGCTGAGATCAGGTGTTCCTATCATTACGACAGACACAAGCATTACTCAGTATTATATTAGTTACTCGTGCTAGATAAATATTTGTTTGGGAGGTGAAAATAACAGATCATACCCCTTAGTTACATAGCATGTTGGTGATCATGTTTTGTACTTGTCTTTTATGACTACTGTTTCTTTAATGACTACTATAAACCTTCAAACTCAGAATGTCCTGTGCATCAATGCATTTTCATTTCCCCTTTTAAAAAGGGCATTATGCATGATAGCAACCCTGTAACCAACAACTCTCCAAAATGCCAGGATCTCAAGAAACAGGGCAGAAGACACTCCCTCAAAGAACCACCCCCAGAAAACAACACTGCTCCCACAACCAAAGAACACGGGCCTTTTAGTTAGCCGAAGGGATTCCTACAGTCCTGTTTTTCATGAGAGATTAGTTCATCAGGGACATACCAGCAACTGCCCTTAGGTTTCATTTAGTCTAGAGTAATTAACTAGAGACCTAAACAGAATTTAAAGGGGGACTTTCAACTGGGTCAAACTTAAATAATTAAGCACAAATCCATTTCTTCAGACAGGATTTTCTTCAGAAACGTCTAAATATATTTAAAGAAGAGATGTTCTGCCCTTCAGGGATTCCTCCTTCCATAGATGAATTCTGCTATGGAACTTAATCCTAGTGACCTCCCTGCAAGAGAAATTTTAGAAGGAACCAAGAGTTCTTTAAATGCAAAGATCTGAACAAACCAAACCGTACAATGAGGAAGGTTCTGATTTAGCAAATGAAAACTGAATGGGAACTTCCAATCTCCAGTGATGAATCAGAAACTTTCCCTGGGGTCTGGGTTGAACAACTGATGCAGAATGGCATTCTAAGGTTTTTTTAAATGAAGCTTTTACCTCTTACGGTTGGGAAGAATCCTTCTAATCATGCTGAAATGTAACTAACCGGAGTGGTGTTGTCTTGAGCCTGCCAGCAAGCTTGTCATCAGATAAGAACTAATAAGGCCAAAGAGTGTGCAGCCTAAGCTGGCTCTGTGTTGTGGCAATTCCTAAATCATCACATTTCAATGGAGTTTGATGATTAAACTGATGCTTCTAGATTAAACTGATGTTTGTCATGCTCCCACTAAGAAGAAGGGAAGGTATAGAAGGGATACCTTCGGGAAGAACTCAGACCTATATAAAATGTACATATTTTATTTTTTTAATGTTTTTTATATTGATAGACTTCAAAGCAACTGTCTTCTGTCAAGACCTGATAGAATCAGTTGGCATCTGAGGAAGTAGGCTATCACCTACAAAAGCTCTTGCCTCTCCAAACTAGTTAGTCTCCTGGTGCCACCCTGCCCTGCCCTCTGCCTGAGTTCAGACTAACACAGCTAACCTACCACATATTTTATTTTTTTAATGTTTTTTATATTGATAGACTTCAAAGCAACTGTCTTCTGTCAAGACCTGATAGAATCAGTTGGCATCTGAGGAAGTAGGCTATCACCTACAAAAGCTCTTGCCTCTCCAAACTAGTTAGTCTCCTGGTGCCACCCTGCCCTGCCCTCTGCCTGAGTTCAGACTAACACAGCTAACCTACCACTATCAGGAGCCCTCTGCCTGAGTTCAGACTAACACAGCTACCCTGCCCCTATCAGGAGGAAGCATACAGCTCATGTCCAAAAAAAAACATTCCTGTTATGCAGGGGTACACAAGAAGACCCCATAATACACAGGGGTGCATGTATCTTGCATGAGCTTTTAAAATCCTGCT